ATAGTGAGTTCCAGACCAGCTGGGGCTACAGGGAGACCCTGTTTCAAAAAACAAAATCAAAACCAGAAAAAAAGATACAGCTCAGATTTCAAGCCTTGATCAGGAGGGAAGAAAAATGAGGGAATGTGTACTTACTTGGACTCCTGTATACAGTGCCCTGGGCCTCCCACCCAGTGAGTAGTGAGATTCTTTTAAGGTACCAGCATAGGAGCCTGGTGTACGCCCAGACCAGCTGGGTAGTGCTACGTGGGAGACTCCCAGCCCAGAGCCTCAATGCTGTTGTCAGAGATGTCATTGAGCGTTCATTGCCTGCCCCCAGCTGTTCGTGGTCCCTGGCCACACCAAGCCCCCACATGTGAGGGCTACTGCTCTGCAACGAGGCCTGGCTCTGAGGAGGATGCCGTGTCCACCCGCCAGCTCACGTCTGCACCATGAGTGATGAGCGGCCGCTGCCTGGCAGTGCAGTGGGCTGGCTGGCATGTGGAGGTCTGTCTCTGCTGGCCAATGCCTGGGGCATCCTCAGTGTGGGTGCCAAGCAGAAGAAGTGGAAGCCTCTAGAGTTCCTGCTGTGCACACTCGCGGCCACCCACATGCTCAACGTGGCGGTGCCCATTGCCACCTACGCTGTGGTGCAGCTGCGTCGGCAGCACCCTGACTACGAGTGGAACGAGGGCCTCTGTAAGGTCTTTGTGTCCACCTTCTACACCCTCACCCTGGCCACCTGCTTCTCCGTCACTTCCCTTTCCTACCACCGCATGTGGATGGTCCGCTGGCCCGTCAACTACCGGTGAGCACAGTACACAGCCTGCTACAGTCTTAGGGAGTGGCTGGCATGCCTGGTGTGTTTGTGTGCGTGCATGAGGGTTCCCATGTGGTTATGACATATCTGTACTATGCTGGGATGGGCCTGAAGTTGAGAGGAGGCAAAGCCCCAGGCTACAGGAGGCATGCGTCCATAGGGGTATATGACTGAACACGAGTGTTGGTCAGTACAAAAACGCTTAATGAGAGGGACAGCTGACAGTATGCATGAATAACTATTCAAAGCCTAAGGCCCCGCCATTACTGGTTAGGCTTTGACCGTGAGGTCAGTGAGGAGTGGTCAGAAGCCTCTAAATCCTCAGAGGCCTGTGAGTAATGCCAGGTTTCTCTATCTTGCTCTTTCCCACGCCAGGCTGAGCAATGCCAAGAAGCAAGCAGTGCACACCGTCATGGGCATCTGGATGGTGTCCTTCATCCTGTCGGCTCTTCCTGCCGTTGGCTGGCACGACACGAGTGAGCGTTTCTACACCCATGGCTGCCGCTTCATTGTGGCTGAGATTGGCCTGGGCTTTGGCGTCTGCTTCTTGCTGCTGGTGGGTGGCAGTGTGGCCATGGGAGTGGTCTGCACAGCCATCACACTCTTCCAGACGCTGGCCATGCAGGTTGGGCGCCGGGCCAACCACCACACCTTCACCGTACCCACCATCGTGGTGGAGGATGCACAGGGCAAGCGTCGTTCCTCCATTGATGGCTCGGAGCCCGCCAAAACCTCGCTGCAGATCACAGGCCTGGTGGCCGCCATTGTGATCATCTATGACTGCCTCATGGGCTTCCCTGTGCTGGTGGGTGAGGCTGGTGTGTGGAAGCCGGTCAGGGAGGTGGCTCTGGGACAGCCTGGAGGCTGGGAACTGGGTGGCTGAGTCCTCTGAGGAGGGCTGTATGTCAAACTAGCCCTGTTCCCACAGGTGGTGAGCTTCAGTAGCCTGCGGGCCGATGCCTCAGCACCCTGGATGGTGCTCTGTGTGCTGTGGTGCTCCGTGGCCCAGGCCCTCTTGCTACCTGTGTTCCTCTGGACATGTGACCGCTACCGGGCTGACCTCAAGGCTGTCTGGGAGAAGTGCTTGGCCCTCATGGCCAATGATGAAGATTCTGACAATGGCAAGGATGACCTGATAGTGGCCCCTGGGGAAGGCAGCACCTGGGCGAGGTCCCTGGGGTCAGCTGGAAAAGAGCTATCTGGAGTGTCCCCCAAGACCATGGCACTTAAGTGACCCTGTCCTCCTCTACCAGGCATTCCTCCTCCCCTCCCCCTCCCCCTCCTTTTTGGTCTTTTTGAGACAGGGTCTCCCTGTAGCCCCAGGTGGCCTGGA